GATATTACTAAGCTTCTTCTCCTTCCACGATGCACCTTCATCTCTAAGAGAGTCATAACCAAGATGACTAAGAAATTCGTACAGGACAGTCTGATTTCTGATGCTGGTGCGTTTAGTGCTGCACATTGCTGTTGATGTGTTAGTTTTTTACCGTATTGGGTGGGCCACCCATGGTCCTATTGAAAGTTTTGGTGGATAGGAGGTATTACGACATTCTGCATCTCCACAGGTTGGTCACTTACACTGTTAGAACTGAATATATCTGTGATAAGTTTGTTTGGTTGAATCAACTCAGTGAAAAGCACTTTTGCTCTGTTGCTTATGCGCGTTTGTAGAGATCTACTCGCTTGGGTGCGCTGTAGTCTTATAGAAGATAACTAACCATCCATAGTATTCATACAAGAGGGGACCCTGAGAAAAGCTGATTGTGTAGAATAAAGCTACCAGACTTTGACACACTAAATTGCTTGGTGACCGTGGGTCCAGATTCCGCCTCAGATGTAAACAATTCCCAATGACCGTAGATTCATAAAGGGAACTACTCACGCGGTTGCTGAAAACTCCTTTATTAAAATATACTGTGATGTCTCGAATACAGTGCCAGCTGAAACATGAGGCAGCCTGTGCGCAGCACATTCAGTTGTAGAATATCATAAGCGAGAACTTCAGTTGATTCTCTTGTGAAAACCAAAATGATTTGCAAATGAGCGTATTTCTCGAAAGACCGTAGGTTTACTTTCAATGTGTTACAGCACCCGTGTAATCTAAACATCCACAGCTTAGCTAAAGTTTGATGGCTTCAGCTAACTGCTCCCACGTTACTATATCCCTCCTGTATGTATGGTGGTTTGCACTCTCGCACACGAAATATAAAGGAATTGAAAGATCGACAGCGCCATTTGTCAGACAGATAGAAATGCCTAGTTATTCTTATTTATTAAAGTAGACTTCGCCTGCGCTCGACGAATTCGGTTTGAACTTCTCTACTGCAGACCCCTGTGGTGAAAAATAGAGGGACGAAAATTGTCCCATTATTCGTGATCGCTGGCGAAATTTCAAATAAACTAACTGGAAAGGTTGTGGACAAAACGAAACGGCTTACGCGAATGTCGCTGATGTTCTTACAAACAGTTTGCGGTTTCACACTTTTCATAGGGAGCAAACACGATCTAAACCGCTCCTTCTTGTAGTGCGCCGGTGGATGTTTCGTTAAGATGGCACTTAAGCCATTCAGTGTTTTTTTTCTGATTTACAGCTACCAGAACCACTTCTCACATACAACCTCTATCCTAATTTTGTGGAGCTTGGAAAAGTAAGTCTATACAACTGGAGATTTTTGGAATACAAGTTATTTGCCAAGTAACCTTCGTGTGTGTTTTCCTTCGTTGGCGTTAATTTAGACGAATTCCCTCAGTAGTGATGGTGTAGTAATTTTAGTCGTCCGGTGGACACCAAATTGATGCTTTTTCCGGGCACTTTATCTGCCTAATTGTAGATCTGAGCGATCTGTTCAACACCAATCAATCAGTAGAATGGTGTTAGTGTATCCCTTCGAAGTCCTTATGATCATTGTTACTATCAAACCATTTGGTCATCAAGATGCTGTCCATATCCAGAAGTAAATGTTATTCCCGTACGGTTGTCAGTAGTTAAATTTTGATGAATCATCAGATTTTGTACTCGACACCTGGACAAAAGAACATTTATCATTCTGCCACAACGCAGAAGTGCCGATGAACTACGGCTGGCGATCGAAATCTGGCCTACTAAACTACAATACTTCTCCTCCATCCAACATCCTCCAGCCTGTATGTGCTGATTGTACTCGCGTGTAGTCAAATTTGCTTGCTAGCATCCCTTGATGCCTTCTACAGAGGCTCCGTTCGTAAACGTATTGAGAATTGAGCATAACATTAAAAGTGACTTGCTGGTGGTATTCCGATTTCTCCCATAAATTTGAATGTTTACTTGTACATCTCTAATCTATCCAATGAATATGACGCGCTTTCCAAAAAAAAAGATTTCCTGGAAAGATGGGGTGAGCACTTGTAACAGTGCGATGGGAATTTTTTCTCCATATGTGCTAAATCTGTGCCCAAAGGCTACGAAGTCCTTTCATATATCCAAGAATCTCCATCGGGATTCTAGACTGGGGAACCAACTCGGGACACATAGCCAAAAGCAGCCCGACAGCGGTGCCAAAAACCTGCATCCCAAGTGGGTGTGGCATCACTTCACTCAGGCACTTCACACTGCTTAATACGGATTTACGTGGCTGCTGGATTCTGAGCCAGCGGAAGGCCTACGTTAGTCATGAGCTGTCTTAGTTTATGAATGACCAATGTGTACTTTACAAATTGTGAAGAGACTTGCAGTTTTTTCTGATAGTTTTTGTAACCAAGCTTTCGTTTACCGTGTTCTGGATAGATGCACTGCTAAGCGATATGACAAGTGCCTTTTATCCTGCCTGAACCCAAAGAGGTGTCATTTTTCCCTGTGGTTTGCAGAGGACACATTATCTCACCCCCACTTACCAATGTGAGAAAGGATTGAGAAAACATTTGACGTTCGGTAAATACACACCTGCTGTGTGGCAAGGCATACTGCTGTTACGACTGCAAATTTTTACAGTGTCAGGCCACATCCCTGTACTGTTCCACGAAAGGCGAAAAAAACGAGTACCAGTTTTCTGACGTTCAGCAAAGCCACTGACTGAACGCTTCTATTTTGATCAAAAGAAAATACTGTTTGTTTAGCTGGCATTGTCAAAACTGTGTGCGCCAAAATACACTGAGCTTCTGACCATTATTTGCAAGTAAGCATTGTAATCCTGAGCGAAGGAACGACAAAAACAAACGAGTTTTGTGCAAGTCAGGGCATCCATTCATTGCAGATAGATAGTTCTGAGACTCTCAGTTTCACCTAATCAGTTGTAATATGTGATGTTTCACTTCTCCAAGTGGACAATCTGACATAATGTTGTCCTTTTTTATCAGGTATTTGACACGGCAGACGAAAAAGGAGTGAAAGAACTGGTCAAACGACTGCAGCTTCTCATCACACACTTGACTCCTGGCAACAGACGGTTGGCTGGTCTACTATTTCATCATCTGAATAGGTAATTCTCTTCTGTGAACTAGAAAAGCATTGAACTGAATAACTGTGTTTGATTCATCTGGCACGACATTTTGTGGCATCATTTATTCACTTTTATATGTATCTAATCCGCCGTGGGAAAATGTAAACACAGGAACACACTTTTGGTCACAAATTAGTCGCTTGAAACAGTTTTAAGTGGGAATATATGAGAGAAAGATACTCACTTGCACACCCGTTTGGGTTCGACGGGAGACTCGCCTGGAACCCAACTGAATCTTGCTTCTATCATGAGTATATGAATTCGCGCCACACACGGTTTGTTTAATTCATGAATATATGCGACTGCATTTCAGATCCAGCTTGACGAAAATGTGACCTGTCATGGCTTGTCGGGATAAAATTGGATCACAGATTATTGTTGCACGAGACATGAGATTTTTCTTATGTGGGTGCAGTTAGGCTACCAAGCGGACTTCGTAAGATAATGACCAGAGAATTCCAGGGAGTATCACCTGAGAGACCAAATCTTAAGGAATGAGGACTTTAAAGCCGCATCACTCACGTTTGTTCGTCATCCGTTCCGTTTGAGTTCGAGTTTCTTAACTAAGACACAGACTGGGCAGTTTGTACTGAGGAAAAATGCCTTACTCGATATACAGAAGCCGTTTGTTCGTCATCCGTTCCGTTTGAGTTCGAGTTTCTTAACTAAGACACAGACTGGGCAGTTTGTACTGAGGAAAAATGCCTTACTCGATACACAGAAGCTTATTTACTTTGGGTTCTCGAGTGATGTGTGTCCCGAAGCCCTATACCTGCAAGTCTTGAAGAAATAAAAAAAATTAGGAAAATCCAGATAAGTGGTATGAAAACAAAGTAGTTTGATTTTTTCTTGATGGTGCACTGCCAGTTACCGAAATGTGGAAAAGATATTTTGTTTCCATTCGGAATTTGAATGAGAAACACTTCGGAGAAATAACTATAAAAACGGTTATGGATCAATTCTGTTGACTATTTTTTGTAGGAAATAAAATAGAGTGACACACGTCTTCGCAGGTGTGCTGGGTTTTTCGTGGATTTCAACTATTGTGTCATCGTTTATTGCTTTTAACTCCTCGAGTGGAATGCAACTTAAAGCAGCTGATCTATTCAACCGCTCCCCTCTGAAGTGCCATCAGTTCGCCTACCGCAGCCCAGGTTGTACGAAGATCGTTACCAACATAAGTATAATTGTGGGTGCATAACAGCCGGGTCAATAAAAACTTGTACAAATTTGCAGGATTCATAAAATTAACAGCGCAAAAGTCCTCCTCCCACCCTCGTAAAATTAACGTAGTTATGTAAATCGAAGAGAGTAAAATGTGTACACACATTTCGAGCGTCTCACATATTGAATGCCCAAGATTGCATCCCAGGTTTGAGGGGCGCGCTCTACTGCTGGGATCTATTAAGTAGGTAATTCCAGTCCGGTATTTCCCTGTTCCAGTGTAGACAGAGCAGGTGTTTGCAAGGAGAGCAACGTGAACCCACACATTTACTTCTTCCTTTTTTACTCAAGTTAAATACGACTGAAAATTCGTGTAAGCCGGCAAATTCTGGACATTTAGGGAAGACTCTGGGAAGCAGGAAATTCTCCGCCCCCTATGGATGACACAATTTAGCTTGCACGGATCTTTCTTCATTGCAACGCCTCCCCAAGATGCCAATCGCCAGATTTCAAGGACGAGACAATTTACAACCGATTTAACTTCCTGGAAGAACCGCAATGATGCTCTTTTATCCTGATTCACGGTCGCGTTAAGTGGTTCACGTCATTAGCATTGCCGTTTCCCTACTTCACAACACCATCCATCTCTTCTCCGCTGAACGTGAGGTAGCCTAGACGACAATTAGTTCAGGATGTGTACATAGCACGCACTGTTGGCGACTATGGCGAGTGAAATATAGTGAGCAGTGAGGGAAATCGAGGAGTATGGTTTGACAACAAACAAGCGGTTCGATGTTTACACAATTCTAACCATTTACGATTGACTTCATTAGAGAGCGTTTCTGTAAATGAAAGCATACCAACTGAGCTGGCATGAACCAACGGTCCTTGTGTGGACTTACTAGGTTACTTTTCCCAGTCATGAAGGGAGTTTGCTGTACGTGCTGAGGGTGTCTCACCGAGGATGAGTAATTCACTTTCAACTTCTCCCTTATCTCCATACGAGATAAGATGGACTAAAAGACGTGCCTAGGTTGGGGGTTCTTGAACTCGCTTACCGAATAGGCAGTGTAGTGGCCTGGCTATCAGTTTTCCTAATCATGCCTTTTAAATCCACATATAATACCCAATTCACCTAGTCAACAGCTTAAGAACTAAAGAGTGTCAGTGCTCCCTTGCATGGCATCCACAAGAGAACAATCGTTGACATTTTAAGGAGGTGCGAATGATTGGTGTATAAAAGAAATGGAGAAAGAGTTCGTAAAACTTGAGAACCAATTCGAACCACTAATCTTCCTCTCGTTGGTGAAGTTCCAAACAAGGAATGCAGTTTCGTTCATATGGCGCGTACTTNAGAACCAATTCGAACCACTAATCTTCCTCTCGCTTGGTGAAGTCCAAACAAGGAATGCCGTTTCGTTCATATGGCGCGTACTTTTTCTGCTGCTTTTTCCTGGTGCTTTTGCGTTTAATCACATTCCTCCACCATTTAAGTTTGTTCCATTTTTTGTTTGGAAAATTTGGCATCTGGTCGTACTTGTTAGATCAGTTTGGAAAATCAGCATGGTATCTGGCCTGAAACGTCGGTGTACCTGTAATCTCATTGCAAAAACATTTTTTCTTCTGATTGTGGTGCACCACCTAATAGTTCTTCTAACAAAAGTATGCCATTAGAGTCCTCACTAAGTAATCCTTCTCGTTCTTCCAATAATTATTAGGTTGAGGAGACAGTATACTCCCCTGATAATATTATAACACACTGAAGAATAACTTCCGATGTCATTTACAGTGTCCGGGCAGCGGAACTCCAGAAGACGTGAATATAACGTGATGCTGAGCACTTGCTGTTCTGACTGGTTGGCTTAGGTGGACTCTTGTTCCGATGTATTTGTTGAGACATCTTTCGGTGAAACCAGTTGCATTTGGTTCCGCTCAAGCGTCTAATTTCCCCTTAGTTTCCCTAGGTCGAAGGATATCCCACAGATGTCTGGCCTTCCTGAAAGTGGTTGGTTTACTCGCTTCGGTCGCTTTTGGTTGGAACTACGACCTGTCTTTCAGTAGCCCTGCGGGTTACAGTGGACGTGCGTAAGCATTGAAACTTGGTAAAAGCCTATGGGTCTACCTCATAACGGTTACCATCAGAGTTTGAAACAAAATAAACCAGCTATTTTAGGTACTTTGCAGGCGGTTGGGAGATTGGGTGCTTCGACTGAAATTCCATCCTTAAAACAATCATTCCACAATAGAATGCAGAGAAGCACTCAATAGCTGTCCCATCTCCTGCCGAAATCCTGTGCAATGCGGATCATACGAATGTTCAGTAGGATACAATTAGGTGACCTTCTGGATAACCATACTGCCTGGCTGTAAGAGCATGCTGCTAGCCACAATCCTACTTATGATGAATCAATTTCTCCTACTTTCAGGGTGGCTGCCTCTCAAGCGGAAAACCAGATGAGTTCAGCCAATCTGGGTACCATGTTCGCACCAACAGTACTGCGTCAAAGACCCAAGTATGTTTTCAGTCTTATGATTTGCTGTTCCGTTTTCTGTTGTGTACTTCATCTAGGCACCTTCCAGCACAACGCAAAAAATGAAAAACTTCGGACGATCATCCCACAGAAAATTGTCACCTCATAGGTTTGATCATACCTGCTAAATTGTGACAACTGGAATTGACATTATCAGGAAAGTCACGACCTCTAATGCCCAGCTGATGAGATCAGGGGTTTCACTCCAGTGTACTTCCTCTAAACCAGTCAACACAGGACATCCAGTTGTTTAACGGTCACCTTCCGAATTTGGTTCACCTGAATTAAAGAGCAATTATGGTCTCCTACGAAATTGCTGTTAGTGTACATTACAGTAATAAGACGACGTCTAGCCAGGCGTGGGAATTGGATAAGTCTGTCGTTATTTAGAAATAAAATGTAGCATTTTACGTGTTTGTTACTAAACTGTGAAAGCTTATCGCAGAAATTCCACCACGTGGCTTCTCTATTCTTTCTCCATCTCATTGGGAAGTACTTTTTTCTGTATGTTGGAATTGTTTCAGCGCTCTACAGCTTCTTTGACGGGAATTCGTGGGTAATCGTGCGCAAGCCCCTATCTATGTCAAATGTACTGAGAAACAGACCATAGCATCACAAAGTAGACATGCGGGATCACACCGTTCTTCGTTCTGCTCTTTGCGTAGAACAGAGATTCCGAGGACTTGCCAGTGACTTTCAGTCACGTGTAACGAATCCGAAGCTCGTGATGCCTTAAGGTTCTTTTACAAACCGTAATATTGACAATCTCAGTGATCACAACTGTACAGATAACACTGATTAGCGCTGATTCTACGCTTGATTCTGTAAATACGCCCTCCTGATCCCTTAAGCACTTCATATGCATCTTGGTCGACCAAGGCACATTACTCGTGTTCATGTGATACAAACGCAGAACGCCGGGCGTTTGTTGGGTCCGTCTGACTTTTAAACGTAAACTGAAGACTTTGATGTGTCATTGAGACGCTTCGTATCCACTCATGTGCAACTTTTGAAAACCTCCTACAACTATATTGCAAGCTTCTCAACACCCACTTGTTTTCTTGGAATCTTATCTAAATAAAATTACCAGGGAATTGGCTAACAAAACGCTTGGTCTAGCAGATGTCATTGCTATACTTTTTTCGCCTTATCCGACATCTGTCTGAGCAAAACTAGTTCTCGTATTCGTTGTGCTATTCTTCAAATGACTCCACTGAACCACAGTTTGGTTATATTGATCTAATCATCATATGGAACATCAAACGCCTGATCCCAGATATGAATCTTGCTTGAACGCATGAACGGATTTTTGGGCAACTCAAACAGTTTTCTATGAAATGTATATACTGAACTTGTTATTTCACACCATTCTGCATGTCGCATAAAGTTTCAGGAGGTCCGCGCATGACTGAATTATCAGTATTGACAACCTAAATGCTTCTCAATGAACCGGACAGGGGAAAATAGAAGAATGATAGGTATTTCCAAGGTATAACACTCTGCATTTGTTGGTAACTTTTCTGAACTGTCTATCAGGGGTCTGCTAGGGGTTCTCTGGTAACCCTTCACTTCGGAAATTCGCCCTAAGTTCTCAGTTTTAAAGGATATAGAGAACTATGCGTTTGATTAACACCAGTGGTGCGGCAGTGTCTATGAATTAATTCAGGCATTTTTAGTTCAACTTTCTACTCCTGCACTTATAACTCATTTTGTAGTAAATGTACTGAAAGCCGAAGAACGCCACCAGATAAGTCAGCTCACAAGTGACTCGCACCAGGCTTCTAGAATGGGTTCAGCAGTGTTTAGCATGGAATTTATAATCAAGAAGCTAAACACGTGGTTCAGGAAACTGCGCGTAAGATTTCACTCCAACGAAAACTTTCATGTTGTCAGCTAGATAGCCCAAGTTTTCTGTCTTGTTTTTTTGCAGGTTTCAAGTGGCCAATATGATGGAGTTTGTTGATAATCGAGGACAAACTCGCGTGGTTGAAGTACTGGTTGACCGGGTGACCGATATCTTTGGCCCCGCGTCTGAATACGATCCGCGAAAGATAATCCTTCTCTTAGCCAATCCAGAAGAGGCTGACAACGACGACGGAAGAACTGGCCCATTTGTCATGGGCAAAACCGACGCCTTACAGAAGCCCATCAGTCCTCATTCGCAGGCTATCCGCACCCAATCGACCAATCCATCAAGCGGCGAACAATTACGGGTATCTATGCAGGGAACTGTTGGACAGCCGAACCTTATGCGGTCCGCCACTATCTCAGCAGCTTCTCCCGGTCGCTCTTCGGGTGAGCCCAGCATTTCTTTGAAATAAAAGGACATCATTATCCGGGATTTCTCGTAGTCAAAACCAACCAAATACTTGCCACGTATATGGCTTATGGAATATAAATTATCTCCTAACCAATCTGCAAAGATATATCTGAATCTAGATGATGGTAACGTAATGGCATAAAATAAAAAATTATCGTCTTCTGGGTCTACGTTCGGCCTTTCTTAGACATCCTGCTTCTTTCCAGGGTGGGTCAGCTGTAGTGAATAAGCAGATAGATAAGTCTCTGATTTAACCAAAGTGCCGCAGAGATGTTTTCGCCTCTATAGGTGACGAAACTTTTGCAACTAAATTACCCAGCTGATCGAACAAACAAAGAACATAAAAGGCCATGTCCAAAGCTGTCTTTTTCCAACAGTTGTCCACATCAGTGATCACATCTGTCCAGTTATTGTTACTTATCTAGTGTGGCAGCAAACGAATGCCGTCCAGGGTAAAATTATCTTGCCACCTAGACATAATGCTACGGCATTGTCGGTACCCAAAGAAATAGAATAGTGGTCGGTTTTACCAGAAATGAAAGCCCGGAATACACACTAATGCACCTTAAAGAAGTCAGCGTTAAGTTAACAAAACGTGGACAGTAGAGACGACAAAAGTTTAGAATTGTCACACTAAGGGAACCTCTAATTGTGCATTCTGATTGTTTTGTCTCCCGATGCTTCTGACTATTGTTTTGGTATGACTGGCTACCGGACAATCAAATGATCGTAATAGACGACTAGATTTTTTCGAGAAATGCACTNGCGGTCGTGGGCTGTCGAGGAGTTTTCAGCAACCTTGTGAGTAGTTTCCTTTATGAAAATATTCTGCAATATCTCGAATATCGTGCCAACTGAAACATGATGCGGCCTGTGTGCAGCACATTCAGTTGTAGAATATCATAAACGAAAGATTCAGTTGAGTCTTTCTTGAAAACCAAATTGATTTTCAAATGAGTGTATTTCTCGATAAACAGTCCAATTTGGGTTCAAGCAGAACATAAGGTTGAGGGAAACTCGAGGAATGCGCCTACCTGATGAGCCTCAAGAAAGGCGAAAGCGGTCGTGGGCTGTCGAAGAGTTCTCAGCAACCTTGTGAGTAGACTCTGGAGCTTATTGAAGGTACACGTCGTAGCTCGGCCACGTATTCACTTTCATCCTTCTTGAAACTCTCAGGTTTTCAGAGTTTCCTTTGATGCAAATTCTGGAGCAACTTCACCGATATTATCTTGCACAGCTGTGCAGTACGCGCTGATTCAGTAACCATTAAAAGTATTCACCTAAGACACTTATTTCAAGAATTAGGTGTTTGCACATCTCTCGGGCTTTTCCGATCGATTTAGGATCCCATTAAATATTCGCTCCGGTTAGCTTTACCAGTAAGGTACTGGACTACGCTCGAGCGTTGGTGCGTTGGAGTAAAATTCATGCAACCTGTTTTACCATAGCAGAACATTATAAAAGTTGAATTAGTAATTCTCCTAGTTGGCAAAAACTTCCATTTCTTAAGATAACTTAATTTCGTGTTTTAGTTAAAAGTACGTATACTTGGATTTTCAAGCATTCCCAAACGGCGTCGATTCTCTGATTTTTTCAGTTGGGAATGCGGTATCATTATTTTGAGTACATATTGCCGAATCATACAAAATAATGCTGTCACTGTTTATTTTTTTTGGTTTTGTTGTTCACGTGGTTCGTCGGTAGGGTCGCGGTCAAAAAACTCTTTTTGTTGAATTGCAGCATTAATAGGAAACCCCCTGCCACTGTACACTCCTTATCGTGGAACTGCAGCTCCGACGCAGCTTTTGGCAAAAGAACAAGAAGTGACGAAGTTCAATGACGGCGAAACAAATTCTTCGAAGGTGGTAGTGGCGTCAGAGGCTACTGAGATAGAAACCCATCATCCAACCGGACACACATCTGCCGTTCCTTCAGCTACTCAGTCAATCACCACGGAAAACGCAGCCGAAGCAACTACGTCGCCTTCGAATTCCGTGGTCAGGAATCTGAAGAAATTAGTCCCTCAACCTTCCACAGCCTCCAAACGGACGTTTGGTGTCTCCAGTATCCAACTAAATCTGTCCACTACGTTTAGTAAACACACAGGAGGTGAGAAAACGACCTTGGCGTCTACCTGCGGAGCGCCGTCTTCATTGTCAGGTTTAGTTATCGGACGGAGACGAACCGGAACTACTAAGACATCCGATACAGCTGACAGGTCTGACAATAAAGGGCAAACCGACCTTGACGATTACACTTACATTGATACAGACTCGCCAGGTAAGGAGTATTTCCCATCCGTTTGAAATGGATTCTTTTGTCGGTAGATGTTATCCATTGACATCCATCCATGCAAAATCATGGGGAAATGAAGCTTGCGTTTTTGGTTACGTCATAACTCTTGCAGATCATTCGTCTATATAAGGGGGTTATTTAAACTGGTGCACTGTCACAAATTTCCTCAAAAAATCATGTGAAAAAAATGGCCAGCCTTCAGGTTACCTCGCTTCTTTATGAAACCTCGCCGTATCAACTAAACATGAAAATCAACGCAAAAACTTACAGTCGAGCTGATGCCAGGGGAAACAGCAGTAATGTGCACGTCTCATTGCAAACTTGGCCCCAAATGAGAATTGAGAGAGCACTGGATGAGTCGCAAGGGACTTGCCTAAAACTGTAGTCTACGTTTCCCTTCCCATTCATTGAAAACATCATAGAACCAACCATGTCTGTCGCAATATTCCTATTCTTGGTTGGTGGGGTGGTACTTATCCGATCACCAGCTAGCGGGAACGATTGGAACTTAACTCAGAGTTTATTGGCAGATTAGCAGAAGAAAATAAAGTACGCGTGAATCGAAAATACAACTAAGCGCGAAAGCCTAATTGAAGCACCTCAGGTAGCTGAATCTTTCCTGGAAATTGTAAGGCTTGAAAATGTAGACTACAAACTTGTGAGGGCCGGTCTCGGACATACTGGTCCATCGTCCATTTGACCACGCAGTCAGATAAAACAATGTTTAGTTTAGTGAATATACACTCATTTGTAAACTAGTTTGGTTTTTCGAGATACTCATCTGGAACCCAGCTGAATCTCCCGTTTGTGGTGCTCTCAGGCAAATGAATGTGCTGCACCAGGCCGCCCCATGTTTCACTCGAGATATCGCGATACATGTATATCTCTGTAATGTACTACTCATAAGGTTGCTGAAAATCCGCCGACAGCCCACGACCGGTTACGCCCTTCTTGGGGCTCATCAGGTAGGCGCAGTTCCCGTCAACCTTATGTTCTACTTGAAACCAAATTGCACGAAATTAGCGAATATACACTCATTTGCAAACTAGTTGGCTTTTTCGAGAGACTCATCTGGAACCAAAGTTTAGTTTAATGATTTTTGTACAAATTTCTGTCTCGATGCTTCCAACAATATCATCTTGGTCGTCGTTCGTTTATGAGTAATTAAAACTCATCACACCCTCTTGAAGTGACAAAATGTGCACTCACTCTTGCATAATACACGCTATGTGGGTAAAAGCAAACTAAAAAGTACTGCAGATCTATTGGAACTAGTGCTGTCAGTGCACAATATGTTGACCCAAAGAACTACAAACGGAGGGCCCAAATACTAAACCTCAACGTTCGTGCATTTAATGGTTCGAAAAGTGAGCGGCAGAGTTTTTGAATCAATGGGTAGCTACAGAAATGAACTGCTTAAAGTGGCATATTCCAGGTTCCCCGTTTGCATCTGTCGACTGGTCAATGCGCCCACCCATCCAGTATGCTCGTTGACAAGCTTTGTATGGCCGAGAGAAACTTTCTGGATGATTCTGGAGACAGTGTTTCCAGATACAAACTAATTGGTTTCCCATGAATGGAAGAGGGTCAGACATCAAAAAAAATTCTAATATTGCTATGCCCAAAACATGGGTGCCAGAGCTCTTCTAACAGGCGCGTCTCTACCAAGTCAGCGTACACAGTGATACTCAGAATATTTCACCATCCACAAACCGTTTTGCTTGGAGTCGAGTGCTTATATGTTAGTTATCAGTATGCTTCCAAACTAAAGGGCCTCGCGGTGTCATCACCGGGGGTTGTTACGGAGTGATCAATTTAATTAAAGTTTGTTAACCTAACTAGACGCGGTTACGGGTTTACCGACTTCTTGTCTATCATCCATCCATATACCCGAACCAAGAGAGGCCCCGATAGCTCCTTATTTGACAGCAAGTGTCTTATACGCCGGTATGTATATGAGTTGTGGTGGCAGAACGAAATGTGGAAAGCGGATGCCGGATAAAAAATGCTAGTGGATCGAATTTTTTATCGGCGCGCAAAGTATGGCTTTCAGGGTGCGGATATTTTTCCGGCATTCAGACGATCAGCCAAGTCATATCGAAGCTAATTTAAACTTGTCTAAGCGTAACACAGTAATCACAGGCGGACTTGGAAAACGAGAGATTTAAATGGTCAGTTGAGTTTCTTGTCGAAATAAAGTTCCTGAGTAAACAAGTATATATGAAGATATTACTGCGGACTTTTTTCCGGATTCCCTTTTCCGTCTCCATAAAGGAAACAGATAAAGTGACGTTTATTTTCTGGTATTTCGACTGAAAGATAGCTGTTTCGTTATCATTTTAATGAACCACTGGTCCAGTAGCTCGCTTGTTCTCATTCCAGATATTACATCGCCCTGAGTCTTTTGGATGGCTTCCGGAGAGATGATATCTCATAATCAATCTTGCATTCAAACGGGATTTGTACCTTGTCTCATTCAGTACAATTTACCAATGTTGAAACAGACCAACTGAACCTTGGTGTTTCAACATATCCGAAACTTTCATACGCCGTTTCCACCCTCGATCCTGTGCAATAAAATATCCCTCTGTTATTCAGTGATTCTTGTCTGCTTCGTGTTGGTAGACTGAAAGATTTCATGTTCACCTCTTATTTATCTAATAGTATATTGGATACAGAACCAAGAGAGCTTGTCTAATCTTATTGAACTCCAATCACACAACAAAAGACGTATTCTTCCAGTTCTTCCTTCCGCCTCCGACCTATTGCAAGTCGGAACACCTGTTATGTGTCAGCTTAATTAAACCACCGCTCATTTTGCATGTTTCGACCAACCATGTTCCGATGACCAACTCATTCCGTTAGTCCTGATTAGTGACATTTTGAATGTGACTGGAAGCCTTCTCGTACTCCGTTCAAGCTGTCCCCATCCTGAACTCATTCAAATGGTTGTATAAATTTGGTCTTTTTTTTGCTTAACATTTTCCGTACCGATTTTCGGGTGCATGTGACCCATGTGGCACCGTCAGCACACCAACACCCCTATGATTCCCCCCAGATATGTTTTCACCTTCAGGCTCATCTATTATTACCAGATAACTGTTTCAACTTGTTCTTGGTCGTCCATTTTCTAAAAAGTGTGATTGGGTAATTCGTCACATTGCACTCATGTTGGGAGCGAAACAGCGGTTGTTTTTTGGAGACGCTGAACAGAGTACTGGATCCAAACAGGTCTTCAACCATTTACCTTGGGCAGTTTTACCTGTCGCTTAAGGACAATTTCAAACAAATCGTTCGCTAAATGATTATTTTTCGGGCTAATGTGCTTGATCACATAACAGCCATTCCTGAATGCTCACACTTACAGACACTCATTCAGACGATTTGATTGAAACTGACAAAAAGAACGATATACCCAGCGAATAGCAGTCATATCCTGCAGCACAGTGGAAGTCACACGGTCCCCACTCGAGAGGGCGGGTGGCACAGACAGCACGCGAACTTCTTCTAAACATTTTGAAGACTTGCCACCATGTCAACGTTTGGTCAACTCTATGCTTCTGTTAGCTGGTCACGGAAAACAGAGCCCACTGCGGCACACCATGTTTCGATGTGCGCAATACATAAAATAACCAACACAACTTCTGGCTCTGAACACAGTTCTTAATGGAAGTACACGCTGCAAACTAGATAGCTCGTTAGCAAACTGCGTCGTTAGGGATTGCCTTGAATTAGACTGTCTCTGCGGCAGTGCAGAAGATCTGAAGTTGTCTCGGTTCAGTCAGGTCTCATCCTGATAAACGAAGTTCTTGAGGTTTATGGACAGAACGCTTTGACGCCATAGATGTCTCAAATGAGCAAACGCGACACGAGCATTGCATTGACCCCGCACACTGACCTCATCTCCCATACTAAAACCAAAAATAGCAATTTCCAAAATACTTATAGCGCTCCAAAACTTCGAGTACCTCGCCCTGGATTGTGAGTGATGTGCTCATCGAATATATGTTCAGGTACATAGCCTTACATTTGTGGTGGAAACCGCTCATCAACGGATTGTACAGCCTCGATCATTCTGTCCAAAAACACCTGAGCCTTTTTCTTTATTGTAAAACGAGAACGATGACACCGGCATGTTCCAGATCGACAAGGTTTTCGTCAGCAGCAACTTGAAAATCATGGTTCTTAGGACTTTCAAACTTTCATCCCATTATTTTGTCGACAAAAAATTAAATAAGAATGGAAGTGTGGGAATCGTTGCCGGACACCGCTTTGCCCAAGGAGCTTCTGGTGAGCTCCTCATATATCTCTAGAAGTACAAAGAACTTGTTATGTTTACAAACTTTCGGGTCATTACTTACTTGGAAAGCATGTGAACGGGAGCGTACCGGTCGCCCAAGTCGAATGCACCTTGAAAATCCAGGAATGCTAATACCCGTTGTCTTATACTTACAGTGTCATTCTGACAGCTGACTGTGTGTGAGAACTTGGTTTACCTACCCTGTATCAGACTGGAATCCTGGTTGCTGCCCTCAATCTATTCTCAGTCATCCGAACCAGGAGCCCAGCGAGGCTTGAGAAAGCGTATGCAGTCATAAACAACCAAGGTTATAGGGATTTCTGGTTCACTGTCCATGATTCTACTTCAGCTGTTGGCTCTTGTTTAGTAGCGGCAGGTAGCCACGAGTATTGCTGTCCGAACTGTTGTGTCGTCCGGAGGTAACCCGTCAACTCGCTTAAGGAAGGAGTCAAAGTCGAGCACAGGAACAGGTCGTTTTCGCCGCGAAGTAAGGCGGATTATATACATCGGAAAAAATGGCATGAAGTGGCTGAGACTTTCTCTTCAACCGAATAACCAATAGGAACCAACAGTTATGCACGATCGGGCAGAAAAATAACGAAATGCAACGACCAATAGGAGTCACACGTGAGAGCGGAACGAGGATAAATCAATGGGGACTCAGCACGATGCAATCTGGTGGCTGAACGTGTGGTGGCGACAAATATAAGCAGAATGTGAGAATTAACCAGAAACGATCAGTCCGTAGTTAAGACGAAATTTTTAGGCAATTAACAGTTCCGTTCTGGTAACACGAATTGTTCGACCCAGTGGACAATGGTCACACTACTCTCATCCTTGATCGATTCGTTCACAAAGGATTTTCCTGTTCGTACGCACAGGGTCCAATCCATGTCGACCACATAATTGAGCTTCGGATGTGCTAAGATAGCCAACGTGTATCAAGACCTCCAGCAACGGCCACAACACTGCATCCAAGGTGTCATGAAATTTATACTTGACGGCGTCAGAGCTATGGTTAGCTAGGGCGTAAGCAGGCACAATATACTGACAGCCATCAACTTCCCGTTTGTGAGACTTCTTCCTGGATGCTTTCAGGTAAACTGGACAGAAATGAATATCAGCGGGCATTCAGTGAAGCAATAATGCCTCCGCCCGGTGACCCAGGATGAAGCCACCTCCTGCATCCTCTGCCTCTAGATCGCCAGACGTGTGCAACCGAAAGCCACCAGAAAGTAATAAGTCTGTTAGCTTAAACACTGTGCTTGCATTCTGGATTCTCGTTTCTCATACAAAGTACACGTCAGTGAGTTCAGTATGCGAGAAATGGTAGTCTGTTGTTCTTTTTGATTCTGAGTTCTTGCCTCAAAAGCGGCAACCGTGTCGAGGTTTGAAGATTGGTCAGTCACAACTGACGGAAGAGTTTTAATAATGTGATAAGGGTAGACCGGAATAGGCACATGAAGGAGAAAGATGGGAGGCGTTAGAATTAGCCCGTTTATGCTCATACACCCTGCTATATACATCGAGTAATGCGACCCAGGTGAAGGCATCACACAGCGGCCGATATGGTATCAGAGTATTGTCAGTTTTGAATGTCATGGTCGTATGTGGTCTGACATACTGCCAGCGCGCCTGCACCTAGACTAGAGGATTAAAGCCTTCGGGTCAAAAGCCTGACTGCAGTGCAGGCTCTGGCAAAAAATGCAGATGCATTCTCATTTTCAGGGGACAATGCGCCACACATGTCCCAAAAAACCAACATGGAGGGTAAGCGGACTGTGTTAGTCATGCTTCTAACTATTAACCAAGCGAATGTGAGAGGCTGGCACGGACACCGGCCAGCGTAGCTCAGTGGGTCACGGAGGCACACAAGCCATCACAACAAGGTAAGGTCCACCCAAAAGCATAATGTTATCATCTGATCTCGCAGCTTAAGCAAAGCAGCCAATGGAGTGTGCTGAAGTTTGCAACAGAGCGTTAAGATGAATTGACTTGCAACGCCAAGTTTGACTCGCAGTTCCTTCATAACAAAAAGGTACTTATAAGGGATTCCTCACTTCTATCTGCTTTGGTGTAGGCTAAATGATTTACTGGTATGCTGTAATGGATCATAACATGGACAGAGAATCCTTCCAAATATCCTCCTAATCTTGCTTCTAGTCGGTGTCCTCGAACCTAATTGGGCACCAGTTTCATTCAAGGCTATCATCTTTGATAAATGGCTGTCAAAATGCATGAGATTGCTTTAAACAGGTTGTGATCGAACCACTACAATCTAAGCGTGGCGGGCAACAACAAAACAGGGGAAGGTCGAAATCAAAGAGGCATGCTTACATCACGTGATAAGTAACCATGACTCCCTGTGTCAATCTCCGTCTCACCACGGAACTGCGTATCCCTTCTCCGACCCTTGACGACCGTTACGGGGTTGTCCATAAACCGAAGCATGTCAGAGCGATGATGGCATGGCACTGTCATACCCAGTGAGATGGCACTCCCGCAACTATTTTCTCCAGGATCTCGACCACAACCCCTCGCCCACTCAAGCCTGTAGCCACAACTCCGAGCAGTTTTAATCCGGCCTCGTCTCTGGGAGGGGCTCTTCCGTACCCAATGAATTTTCGCTCAGATTTGCCTAGCCTGGCTTCCCTGCTGCAATTTCGACTTGCGACTTGCGGCGTCATCCCCATTCTGATTGGTTGATCCCTAGATGGCGGGAACATTCAAAAGTGGCAACATGGCGGATTTGTGGTTCATGATTGACCCTCTCAAACGAAGCATAGAATTATGATGCGGTTGTGTCTTTAAAAAATTTCCATCTCCAATAGATTTTTAAATATAATAAACGAAAAATTATGGAATTCCCGACAGTTTTAGATAGCTTGGTTGTAAAGAGTGTAATCCTATATTTTGTTCCTAAGGTTAGCTATATCTCCAAAGGAAGATAATATTTGGGATTAGTGGCGGCAACAAAAAGTAATTAGTCAGAACAGCCAGATTCAGCGGCTGGCGCTGGTGTATTGGCTGTTTACAATCAGCATTGTCCACATACTATGAAACAGTTATTCGTTTGAATTAAAGGAATAGCCTACGTGTAATGGTATATGTTCCTCTCAATGAATCCATTGAAGGCCATATATCCTTGGAATTGTGTCCGGCGGCTAAGGCACCCTATAAATTCATTGACTGCCCTAGGTGAGATACCCAGTGTGTTCATGGACAGCCCTAACTTTGGTTTATAATGACAGAAACATCGGCACGTCGTTTGGAGCCAACGGATCAACGACAACGTCCGTGGTTGAGCTAGAGCTGCAGCTCTGGCACCACCGGTGGCAAGCGTAACATGCCACCTTTTGGCACCGATGCCCACCGGTGGTGCCACCGGCGGCGTTTTTACTGAGTGGTCACCTATTTTCAATTTCTGATCGTTCATCCCTTAACGAAAAGTATCGTTCTGGCATTAAGAAGGGTTTACCAATGTTCTGAGCACACAGAATAGTGTAAGCAGTTGTTGACGTATTTAGTGAACATTGTACGCTAAGCTTGGAATACAACTATTGCCATAACCTTTTAATGCGACTGTTGACGACACTCATCAGCTATGCCCAAAGCAACGGCAACTTGTCACCTTTGTGGGTTTTGAACCTTGAAGCTCAGTTGTGGCTGGAAATCACTCCTTCCGTTTTCGTGGGCGACTCTGCATACTATGTAACAACAGGCGAGGTATTAAGTGTACAGTGCGCCCCTGTCATATAGTCTTCGGATTGAATAATACTTCTGTCGATTACGTAACTAGTAAAACCGTGACATGAAAACCCCCTGAAGCCCAATAAGTGCTTCAGGCGCGGTTAGGCCGCCGGGTTATTGTGCATAATGCTAAACGTATGTTGCCCTAAA